AAAGAAAGTGTTTTATTTTGTTCAATAGCCACAACAACACTAACACAAACAAAGTATATCAAATGTATAAAGTGAGCAATACTTAGAATAGATGAATCAAATGCCCTAATCAACTGCCTATCAAATATCCTAATCCTTATCCCTTCAAAATGAAGAAAGAATGGTCCAATTGTAGGACCTGCGCCATTCACTGGATGCTCATCAAAATTTTTCCCGGTAATGGTTGAAGGGGGACGGGGAAGGTCACGATATTTTTCACGTCTTATATCAGTAAGGTTAGAAAATTTCACTTACTCACTATGGTTGGTCACCCTATTCCCAGTACCCACTTTTCAATTTCCACCTCCCCGGCCTCCCCCTGCTAATTTTTGAGAAGACCCTTATTTCGGTCTTTATTCCATTTTTCTTGTGCTATTAATTAAAATTACAGTTGTTCCGACGACTTTTCACAAAGAAAGTGGACTGCCTGACGTTTAGTTCTGTGACTAAACGTCACGTAGTCGAAAAATCTCAAAGTGCCGTGCTTGTGACCGGGGCGTGTGACAAAACTTGTCGAACAGTATTGTTTCGGTCTTTAGTGCATTTCCCTTGTTGTATTAATTGAAATTACGGTTGTTCCGACGATTTTTCACAACAGAAATCTCAAAAAAAATCTCAAAATGCCGTGCTTGTGTTTGAAACTTGTCGAACAGTATTATTTCGGTCTTAATTGCATTTCTCTTGTTGTATTAATTGAAATTACGGTTGTTCCGACGATTTTATAAGAAAAAATTAGACTGCCTGACGTTTAAACACTCCGAATATTATATTATGACTTTATTAATCAGCATATGTCAATACAACATTTCGTTGAAATAGTCTCCTTCACGGATACCTGCACCATCTTGAAAGGTAGCCGTGCCTTTACATCGAAGCGAGACGACCGTTGAGCGTCAGGAGCCCATTACTAGCCTAGTAATGGGCTCCTGGTTGAGCGTGCAATGATAGATACCTGTGAATCATTGTCTGTAGGTGTGAAAAAAGGTTTCTATCATTGCACGCTCAACGGTTGTCTCGCTTCGATGCAAAGGCATGGTTACCTTTCAAGATGGCGCAGATAACCGTGAAGGAGACTATTGTCCGTTGCTGCTAAACAGCTGCTAAAGAGGTTTATCCAGGTTTACCCCCTATACAAATCATCCTTACAAAATAAGCTTAGCAACTAGATTTCGCTCTCTTCTCTCTTGTAAGTGTAAGCAGCCAGAGTTAGCTCACGAGCCTGAGTGTGGTTCAGCCTAGCTTTGAGTTCCAACTTAAGAAAGGAAAATGGTCGGGTAACGAATCTTTCTGGCAGCCGCGCCTACTCAAGCAAAGATTGTTTAATAAGGACAGCGGACTTTTAACTTGATATGAGCTTCACTCTTGGTTTCCTGGAAACACTAGTAGGTGTTCTCTTGAATTCATTATTAACAGAGGTCTTTTACATTGTGTCAGAGCACTAGAATTGCTTCATTACCTTTAATAACGTCAATGCGCTAAAGAACTAGGGAACTCTCTATTGTTCWGCGGCATAGCAAGTTCCCCATGTACGAATGTCTTGGTTTTCACACTGATTATGTATCCATCTGTGGGTAACACATTTTTGAAAAAAAATGTGGATAAACTCTATTTTGAAAYAAAGTTTCTTTTGTATTAAAAGCTCTTATCCAATCATAAGCACTCAAAACAATAGCCAAAAGATGCTTCTAATTTGCTATGTTCCCCACGTAGAATTGCCTTAATATTAAAGCTAAAGAAAGCTTTCATGAAAGCGAAAACAGACATTAAATAAAATATTAGAAAATTCGCTAACTTGTGAAATTATAGCAGATTTTCATGTTTTAACCAATGGGATGGATGGATTATACAATGCGCAATTAGCACCTTCTTGCATTCCTGTGCCGTTTGCTTCCCTAGTTCTTACTCGGGGCATTACTTAATTCCATTGAAATGGTCAAGTACCCCTTCCCAGATCATTCATGTTTAGTTCTGCTAAATAAAAAAATTGGAACTTGGTTTACTCGTTTGCTTGGACCATGAAAATGGTCCCACAATGTAGAGCGAATGCACGTTCTATAGGACAAAACTTGCACAGTTGTACACAGTTGCACAGTTGTGGTTGAGAAGATAGCTGCAGTGTGACGTCAAGAGGGAAATAAGGGTTTGTAAACCCCTTGGAAGAAAAAAGAATCCGAGGTGATCATGATATTACGTATCGTTCGACTCCCCACAGCACCAGCGGTGTGTAACCCTGCAGAACTTATGGTAAGTAAAAAGAAATTATGAATGAGATTAAGTTTGGCTAAACCTTATTTAGCACAAACGGTCAAATAAGCAAACTAAACAGATAGCGAATAAGGATTTGAAATCTGATCACGATAGATTTTATACAGTTACATGTTAGTGTGCTTGTGAAACACACACGAGTAAAATGTCAACGGGATCGATAATTCCGAGACAGTAGTTAAGGTTTGTGGTCCAGAGACAATGTTCATAGTCATCACGATTAGTGCTCATGCATGCTACCGGACAAGGTTGAGGAGGTGGAAGTTATGATTTCCGAGTCAYGTGAACGGGCTGAAACCCATGAATTTTTTTTCCTGGCAGGACTTCAGAGCGGTCCCTGATAGCTGATAAGTCCAGTTTCACCGATGGATTTTGATAAGCTAAGTAACTACGAGGTTGATCGAGGTTGATTGGCTTCATTCATAAGGATTTTCAGTACTTAGTCAATAAAGAGAAAGACACACAACTTGGTAGCTGTTGCTGTTTACTTAAATGCATCCTTAAATATTACAACCACAGACCAATTGTTCTTAGACGTGGCAACTATGTTTGCAATGCTAGCGCAATGCACATGCTCATTAGAAATTTATCATGCATTTTTATCACTGGTTTTTTTATATTTTAACTTTTTTCTATGATGATGAAGTTGTATATATTGAACTCGAGTGTGTGATACATCGAAAATATAGCATGGTTCGTACAATTACATCACAAATTTAAAGGATTTTAAGTACTTCATAAGCACCGAACTTGGAAGTTATTTTTAAATCTCGCGTTCGGGTTTCTGGACGTAAAGTTAGTCCAGTCCTGGCCTCCTTTCGACCCGCTCCTACAGGACTCGCTGAAGAGTCTCATATAACTTCCATGCGCATGTCAGCTTTGTGACCTCGCGATTACCACACAGATCTGGTAATCGCGAGGTTACAATTCTTCGTGCAATAGAGAGAAAACTKTATTTGTGATTATTAATGTCCCTGGCACCTGAAAAAAAATTCCTCAGCATTATTTTTCGTCTTTTTAATTGAATTGTAGAGCCGATTTAGTCAACAATAACTATCGTTCACAACTCGTTGCAAGTAAAAAAAAAATATCGTTGGCATTTCTACGCGAACATGCAAACGAAAATTTAAATAAATCTACCGTCGTGACAGATTGGGCTAAACACAGACAAAAGTTGACTAATGAATCAAAAGAAAGATTGCGAATTCTGTAGAGACTTGAAAATTAAAAGCGGTCCCGTGTGTGACTATWAATCTTATTGGCTTGTTCTGCACATGCTAATGCAAGTTTTACTGGACACTTTCCCCGCGAGTCCTGGAACGAGTCGAAAGGAAGCCTGGACTGGACTAGACACGTAGGCTGCAAAAGATTCAAGTAATATTTCAGGAGTTTTTTTACATCTGCAGATGCCCTTGAAAACGAATCTTCAATTTCTGGTCATTTCAAGGCTTTCAAGGAACAAACCCTTAACTATAGAACCTTACTCTTTATATCGCGTTAAAACATGAACACGAGTTCTAAAAACAACACGTATAATAGACATAATATGGTTGCATTTTCTGCCCTAAATAACAAACATTAATTTAGTTAAAATTGAATTGCTCACCAGTAACAGATTGTCTTTTTTTTAATGTTACGTTATTTATTTGTGCAAACAACAAAAGTAAGGAACAAAACTCAGTTGGTTCGCGCTATTTGTTATATTCTATGTTTTTTTGCTAAAACTAAAGCTATAAATACAACGTCTCTGTATATGTTTTCATTGCGTCCGAATTTTCTGAGCCCGGAAATAGATAGCCTGACTTTCATCTAGGCCTGGATACCCAAAAGCGAAGGACACAGTCCCCAGCTTAAAGTTACGAAACTGGAAATAGGATATATGTAGCGACGCCATTTTTTTCTCAAGGAACCATGAAGGGAAGTGCAGTTCCTTTTTGTCTTTTCAGCTAGCCCCCCTACCCCCCAACCCCCCATGCAAAAAAAAAAACAATAAAAGAAATGAAAGAAAATTAAAACAAGCTACATCTCTCTGTATTGTTTTTGCTATCAAAAATGACATCGCTGCACATTGCTTATTTATAGCTGCATAAACGTCGCTTTACTAACAGACGAAGTCCGTTGTTAGTCAGAGAAAAATATTAGAACATAAGAAACAAAGTAAACTCTCCCTAAAAAAAACATCTTAAAAAAGCTGTTTATATGCTACAAAATTTCCATTGCCCAAGGAAAATGTGGCGGTTAAAACGACTTTTTAGGAAAAAGATTTTACTGATTTTACTGAAGGCCGTTCAGCCTTATGGCCTCAAATAAACTTTAAGAAAGATAACATTCAGCCTCTGGAACCCAGGGTATGAAGTTTGAAAATACCGCTTCCTTTTCGAATAAACTTAGAACAACTTCTGCATGAAAGAGCCATGATCTTCTTCAAATTAAATGCACGTGAGGTGCGGAGTATATATCAATTAGATTAAATCAATTATGAATTGTATTCCACACATGAGAAGCTTGTCGTATAACCCAGGCCTAAAATACCTTATTAACCCGGACATCTTCTGCTCTCGGGAACTATTATGGAAATATGAACATCGGTTATAAGCCGTATAAATCTCGAGTGTTTTAAAGCCTCCGTTCTCGGTAGCTAACTCTTACTTSTCGACGTTATCGGTAATGAGCTCKTACTAGTTAACCTGTTGTTTCAATCTCTTGCAATGTCTTTTTAGTAAAACTCTTACGAATTGAACTCTTCAGCTCGTCGGCCAGATTTCAACGTAACAAATTCCTTGGCAACCTCATCGTTAGTCCTCTGCGACAAAATCTTCAAGATCGTCCAGCCTGTTGAGTCCATGTGGAGATATTTACCTAAACTTGAAGTCCATGCACAAGAGCCAATCTCAGCCAAGTCGCTTAGGTGGAGTACTGTCACCCCAACCATAGCGTCAGTACGAGCAAAGCAGTAGTCTTTGACAGCAATCTGAAGCTCGTAGGAGGTCAGTTCTACCTCGTTTCCTAGGATACTAAACAAAATAAGAAATGTTTACCAAAGACTGAGCTTATTGTGTCTTATTACGTGTCGTTACACAGAGACGGTTCCCACTGAATGTTGCTTGAATTTAAAGACGAAAATGTAAAGCATTATGACGACTGTACATGGATAGAAGCGTAATAAGTAAACAAAAAACGCAATCACGTAACATTTTTGCTGTTAGTTCAAGAGTAACGGCGCAGTCAATGCAACATTCGGCAATCGCCAGGTTGACTGTCAACTGGTTTTGAAATTAGACACAATTACAACTACTTCAATTTTTGCTTAGAAGGGACTACAACTACAATTATGCTAACTGTACAAAACGCGGTTGCTGCTCATTGCTTATTATAAGTTGAGGTATTTTATATCTCGTATCTGTCTCCCTCATAATGTTGTATAAGATAATGTTACTCACAAAAAGAACGACTCGTTGTAAGTCGGTGACCAGTTGTTTCTTTTGGATTTTGTTGCAATTTTTCGTGTCTTGGTAGCTAAGTGAGGTCCAACAACATGAACTTCAACAAATGGACGAAACATTCCAGAAGACTGCCATCGGAGATCCTTGGCTGCCACAACTACAACAGAACTGCTGTCAATATGTATCAAACACAACTACAACAGAACTGCTGTCAATATGTATCAAACACAACTACAACAGAACTGCTGTCAATATGTATCAAACTCATCAATAATTCATGAGCTGTTAATCCAATGAGGATCGATCTTTAGGACACGCGATTGAGTCTGTAAATCCTGATAAAACATTGATTAATAAAATATTGATGTTTTTAGGTTCCCAGCCAGCCGCTAGTCTAGTCGATTTCCTGCTTATATTTTGTCTATTACCAAGGAGCCCGTTACTAGGAATGTCCTATTAGAGGGTTGTCGAGGCATAGACATGTTTATTTTTAGATTTCTTTTTGATCAATGAGAAGTCACTTTCGGCTGGGCGTGCGCGAGCTAAATCGGCGGGAAACATCGGGCGCGGGCTGAAGAAATAAAATTGCATGAAAAAAAATTCCGGCACTGTTTTCATTTTTTTCTTTGATCAAATTTATCGATAAAAACTTTTTTTAACTATACAAGGCAGAGAAAAAAGATATTAGTACTTTACATTGAATGAAAACGACAAGTCATTTGAAAGTTTTTTAAGACATTGGCAACAAAATGTTGTAGTCACTTATCGTTTAAGACTGTGACATTGGTTTCGTTGTGCGTTTTCTGTAAATTGTATGACAGAGCAATAGACGGTAGTTTTTGACGCACCTTTTACAGTGACTTTGTGCTCTCCAGTACCAGGATGAGTAAACAAGTCAACTTGTACTGATATTTCGCCTACAGGTTCATCGATACCAGGCTCCTCTGCAAAGCAAACATAACGTCAGTAAGTCTCAACAAGGTGGATCACTGTAGTTTTTACGAGTACATTATGTCAAGTGCAAGAAAAGCAAACTCTTCGAGTTGTGACTTTAGCATTGGAGCCACAAAGGCGGCGCCTGATAATGGCGTACCAGACCACATGATGTTCAAGCTCTTCGATGTTTGAGTAGCATTTCACTTTAAAATCGAACTCCTGCAKAATCTTTTGCCTCGTTTTCACATAATCTGTCTTAGTTTAATGTAAATAGAAGATTCCGGTTGGTTAATTTAGTAGGAGAATCCATACTCGTCCCAGGATAGAAAAGCGTTGTCATGGTAACTGCTGATCCATGTGAGAGGACTCTCTTAACGTAAGCACCAGCGCCAAGCTCATCTACAAGTTACGAGTTTTAATGTACAGGTATCGTGCATTAATACTTAGACGCCATCTATTCTAGACAAGATTACCTTGTGAAGTCTGTGTCTTTACGAACTCTTTAATAAGTGAGTCCGTGGTTTGTGTGTACAGCGTAAGKGCATGCAGCAGTGACTGCATGTTCTGAGATTTTTCCAAAAAAGCCTTTCGTAGTCCACTACCACCGCCGTAGAAATAATCCTGGAAAATACATATTCTGAGACCATGTAGCCAATATGTTCCATGTTATTCTGCAACATGTTTATGCAATTGAATACAACATCCTCTTTGGTGTTAGCTTTGATAATATCACCTATTTGTGATGACATATGTGTATACAATTGATATCAACTCGATAATCAACCAAAATCATCACTTGAGCATGAAGCATGAAGCATCAACGGCAACAATGCTGGTAAAGTGAGCAATATCAACGATACCAATGACGGCAATAACCGTTAGGATAACTAAAGCACGAAGGAGCAAATATCAAACTTACAATGAAGGTAACATACCTTGATACTATTCAGAGCAGCCTCAAGTACACCACACTGACGAATACTTAAGTTCCTTGAATCACCACCCGTTAACGATGATATGTCCTTGTTGTCCAGCGGTGGTAAAACAATCATAGTCTCAAAGTTCATCATGACAACCTTCCACAATTCCTGGATGAAAATAATTACATTCAGGTTGATTTGATAATTACCTAAAAGGTATGCTATCACTTACTTTCATCAGTCTCTTAAGAACGGCCTTATCGCAAACTTGATTCCACAGTGACAAACTACAAACGCAAGAAAAGAATGGCTATTATTGCTTCGTTGATATACACTTGAATTGATTTTACCCCCTCATCCATACCTCCTCGAAATAATCTGGATTTACTGCTAACTATCATCTATATGACATGAAGCATTGCGTGACATCTTACCTTCCCTCAAGAACTTCCATTAATGGTTGAAGGATCGCTGCCGATTCTTGCTCTACCAGTGCCCGACAGCTTGGCAACGCGATGTTGAACGTACCGCTATTCTTTATCCTGGGTAATAACATACGCTTATCACGACATTGGCAGTCTCAGTATATAAGAATCTCAATATTGAGTTAAAATGAAAAATCTCATAAACTTGGTACAAATCGACCGTAACACATTCTACGGAGTCGTTTCCCTTATTTCGTGAAATAGTTTTAAAACAGTTAATAGTTTTATTAAGTAAKCCATGAAAATAATTAAAATAACGTCAAATTAGAATTTTTCAAGCATTATGGGTTTTTAGATTGTTCGTGAATGCTTTACTCTCTAATATATACAGTCATGCCATTATATCCTGCGGAGCAGCTCTGAGGAGGCGGAAAGGGGAATGGCGGAGGGAGAGAGGGGTTCTTCCCCTCCCCCTCCCTAAAACTCATGCTTGCAAGTTAAATGTTATTGACATTTTCGAAATTGAGGTTAAATAATCTTGCAAAAAATACAAACATGATATAAACAAATGACTTTGTGTTGTCTTTACGTTTGTACAACTGAAAAACGTTAATTGAATTGACTGTACCATGCATTTTGTCACAATTTAAAACGTAGACAACTAGTTAGCTTAAACCCTAACTAGCTTTTTGATGGCTCAATGTGACAAACAATTTCTGGTACTCTCCTTTTTGGAGTTAATCCTGGCCACCCAACCCGCAGGGAGCAGYGTGGATAAGAATGRCAACGATGATGACAAGTACACTAACATTTGTTGCCCTTCAACTCATGGTCAAACTTGTGGACTGCAATAATTTKAAGATTAATTAGAGCAGCTAAATATAGTGTTCAAACGATATGCTTCACATGAGCCTTATTAGATAACAGAAGATCGTCTAATTCTAATGACTTATAACTTCGGTTAGTGTGAAGTACGGTGTCTGACCAAGGTTCAGTAAATGTTAGAGAAAAATGGTTACTAGAAACAATCAAAATAAGGCCAACTACTAACTAGTTTTCAGCTATTTCTTAGGGTTATTGTTATAGCTTGATTATGAGCAGTCCTCAGCAGTTTGTTGCATGCTTATACTTTATTGCGAACAAATGGCGTACAGGATSTTATTTCTGTGGTATTTCTTTAGATTTCGTGCATTGCCACCCGCTGCAAAATGAGTCCCAAGTTATGTCTTACAAATAATTGGCGAGAATGTTGACAAAGGTCTGTTTGAGGGGCGTAACTATGCAATAACGCCATTATAAGACAATTACATAAAAAACAATCAATTGTATCGGGAACAGAAGACCCTTGCAAGCAATTATATTACGACTMGCGAACTTACTTTTGCAACATACTTCCTACACTTCGCAAGCTTTCTTGCACTTTGTTGTCAAGGCTATACAGCAAAATAGAATAGGAATGATAAGATACAAACTGAGAAAAATAATTATGAAGTCAATAAATTGGTGAAAAATGTGATCACTGTGACGGCATAATGTAATACCACAACTCGATGGTCCATTTACCTGCACACAAATATAACACACAGCTCGTCCAAGGTGTGATTTAGCTGAACCTGTAACTCTTTGAATACTTCACTACATTCTGGGGAGATCTAAAACCAAAGAATAGTTAGATMAAGATGTARGGAAAGTGGTTCGGAGGTGATAWTTACCCTGCCACCATCCATCATGGTTTCGTACAGTTTCTCCAACATAACTCTTGTTTGCTGAATGTTGTTCATGAGAATACAAGCCTGGAAAATACAAACAGCAGCCGAAAAATCTTATTAACTACTACAAGGCCAAAGCTGTTCGTCATAGAAAACTACGTTCCGTAGCTAACCCGCACTAGAAGCGAATGGGAAGAATACTTACCGTTTTTGGAAGATYACACCATCGTTGAAACTCGGACATGATGTTTTCTGCGTACTGGATAAGAACTTTTTGCACGGTCTAAATGAAAAATACGATATTTAACGGCTCTACTTTTGAAAAGATTTTAGACACTCTAAAACCATCTATAATCTGTGTGTGGTGCACTGTCACGACATTACTGGCAACCATAAAGAATCGTCTCCTATCGTCTCTTTAACTCTTTCCCGTCCGCCCCTTAGGTCGAATTCGACCTATGCGTCAAAAATCTATACGTTGGCGAAATAGTAAGCTAGAGCCCTGAAATTGCTCGTACGAACTTACTAGTAGATACTGTCGATTTTACAGTTGAAAGAATTTTGCAACGAGGAAACAAAAGACACAAAACATGACTTTGCTTTGAAATGAATGCCAAAATCTGAGTTTGATGGACGGCAGAGTACACTGATTTTCATCTCAATTTGTAGCGTCATAATATGTTCTCCTAGCAAAAAGTTCACTTGGTTTGCAAACCCCTTTGATAGAACGTCCTCATTTCGACGTTTTTATTTTGTCAAATGCACATTGTTTTCGAAAAATCGCTTTCCACCTCTGATTTCTTCCAGAAGATTGTCTCTGCCGACTTGTCAAGCTTAATGAGGCAAGCCTAGGGGCTCCTGTGGCTGCAAAAAGCTCAAAAAAAACTTATAAACGGGTTTTTAGTTAAATTTAGGCTCAACCGGTCGATAAACAAACAGTCTGACCTAAATTTACAAAACCTTGCATAAATTAATGCTCCCTAGGGAATCAAAGAGGGATAACTCGGTTAAGATACCGAGCCAAACTCTCATTGTTTTCCTTTGTTTCCAATTGAAAGTTRGAAGGAGGGAGAWGAAAAAGGGAGGATTGAGGGGGCTTGAGCAGAATTAAGGACGGGAAGAGAAAGGAAGAGGGAATGGAAGGAATGATTGACAGGTATTACCATTGTAAACTTGATGATGTAGCGGTTACTAATTTCTGGGTCAGGACAGTCTAATTTCTTGATTATTACATAATTCTGAAAAARAGTAATTGCAGGAATAAAAACATTAATACTGCTCCACACACGTGTACGACTTCGTTAGAGTGTAATCGTGGGTGGTAGAGTGGTTTTCATAAACCCGTGAAACAAAGTGTAATAATTAGAGTGTAATAGATCGAAATAGTCGCGTAGAGACAATAAAAAACAAAAGAGCCAAAGTGTAATAGCGATAAATACGCTAAAGTGTGTTTCACGGGTTTATGAAAACCACTCTAAAAAAAAGAGCCAAAGTGTAATAGCGATAAATACGCTAAAGTGTGTTTCACGGGTTAATGAAAACCACTATACAAAACAACTTGGGTCAGCACGAACATGGATTGCAACACCTCAAGCTTCAGTTCTCATCTGTTTTCGTGTTTTGGACTATTTATATTGATACATACTGCTCATACACACATAAGTGTGATAAGACGAATAAACACCCTAAGCATTTCCTTTCAGTTTGTTTATGGTCATCAGGAATTGATAAGAAGACATAAATATCCAAAACGGATGAAATAATCCATAATAAATAATCCATGATTGAGGAGGTTTTCAAACAAAAACAATGCCAAACAACATTAACGATCTGATCATTGTAGTTACTGAATTCTTAAACATTTACTGCTTTTTAAACCCATTCAGGGTAAGCTAACGAACCTCAACTAAAACAGAGAAAGACTTTTTGTTGGCCAGTTCCGATCGGTTAAATCAGTAGCATAGAAGTTTAATAGGACGGGTAGTTTAGTGCAGAAGGGCTCGTGTTTGAATCCTACAGGGTAACTAACAAAAGGCTTTTTTTATACGTAACTTAGTACCTGATTTCGGGGGACAGTAGAAAATTTCTAACGTACAAGTTAAGATGACCGAGGGAAGTTTGGGACGAGGGCAATACCTATATAAAGCACTTGAACATATAATAACCTGGTTGATATGAGAGATGAAAACCAAAAACATCAACAAAAACTGACTCAATCATGTAATGATTCTARTTATATACTAGCCGCAAACKTTTTCMATTGTTTAACGGAGGTTTTGAAATAAAGTTTCAAACACTACAACGAGGGCTTGCATTGAAAGTCAAGACCCAGGTCCTCATAACCTGCCTCGTGTCTTCCCTAGAAAATAAAGCACCCCTATCAGAATCATACCTGATTTAGCAATGAGAAGATATCTACCACAGAACTAGAATACAGAGAATGCTGTGAACTGGCAAGAAACTACAACAACAATGTCAGTACAATAAACACATATTTAACGATTAACATACAGGTTTTCCTATAATAGAATTCTATATGATAGACATGTATCTACCACAGAACTAGAATACAGAGAATGCTGTGAACTGGCAAGAAACTACAACAACAATGTCAGTACAATAAACACGTATTTAACGATTAACATACAGGTTTTCCTAT